AGCTGTTGTACTTTATTTGATCCATGGGCTTGTAGTGATTCTGAAACTCTTTAAGCATACCCTGTTGTTCATTTGCTGTCGGTGGGTTTTCTGTAGCATAAAAACTGGCAATTAAAGCATGTTTAGTGCGTAGGTGGTACTGCAGACTTGAAGTACTTCAATGGTGTTGGAACTCGGCATTGCAATAACTACAGATAAGTCTTTTTTATCCAGAGAACCATCCAAAAGTTTTTTTTAAAAATTAAACTTCCCCTTTAAAAGACCTGAACTTTTACTACATTGCTCCATTAACTTTTTCTGATATTTAATCACCCCAGATCATGAGAACACAGTAGAACTGTATCAATGTCCACCAAGCGATGAAATACTAGTAAATAAAGTGGGTCAAAAGAGAGGTGTGCAATTAATGCTTGTTTAAAAAAAAAGTGTTAATTTGTTTTGTGTTAATTGCTTGTGTTAACGGAGATTGACAGCCCTAATATTTAACCATCTGATAAGTAAATGGAGACATCACCTAGTAGACTCACTTTTCTTTTGGCAAATGAGGAGATCATATGGATGCCCTGTCATGTTGTTTTCAGCAGCCTATCCACAAATGTCGCTTGTTGAGAAGATGAAGATAATAATATATGTGTAATACTCTACGCTGAGTGAAGAAGCACAGCTATTCCAATAGTATAGAGATTTTGATGGCACCACTGTCTTTCCTGATTAAGGAAGAACCTATTATACTGAGACCCAGTTCTACCTCGAGCCATCTGACAAACTGGTTGAATTAAATTATATAGATTTTGTGGTGTTGCTTTAATCTTCAGAAAGGACTCAAAATCAAAGATACAGTACTGCAGAAAATACAGTATTGCTGGTGCCTCAAGGGGGGAATCTTAGCTTTTGAAGCATACCGTCTTACAAAGTGCCTTTTTATAACAAAGTGTATCTATCTGCACAAGCATTTTAGACAGTGAAGCAGTATCCTGGAAGAAACTGAATATTGGATTTACATGAGTACTGAACCATACTGGAAATATTCTGTCCTCTTTGTGTTTCACCCAAGGTTCAAAGACAAAAAGATTGCTGGAGTCAGAGGTGTAAGAAATGTTCTTGTCTTTCAAGACAAATGATTCATCACTTCAGGGAACTAAAGCTAATTCCATGAAGGTTTTGATGGTCACGGCACAGAGCATCAGTGGAAGAAATGTGTAAAATAAGTACTTCTTCATTGCAGTACAGAAAAAGCTTTTAAAATGCCTATTCAAAAGTCTTAGTGTAAGTACGGGTTGAATATACTGGTCTGGTCTCCTCTTGGCATATCTGCAAGCTTTAGGCAATGGTTTACATAAAAAAGCAAAAATATAGGACTATTTAATTTTGTCCAAACACTGTCTGCCTCCAATTTTTTTACTTTCAGCAACTTCCCTGTGGTGGTGATTTGACATCCTTTTGATATGACACAAGATTATTTCTTATCAATTTCCTTTTTCTAGTTAATGCATGTCTGCCAATTTGGTACACTCATTATAGTAGGTACATGTGTGTTTAAAAAAAGATTTTGCTGTCCTTCAGACTTGAGAGCTCATGCTTACATTAGCCTCATTTTTGGTTGTCATGGTTACACACATTTGATATGGTATGTCAATTGAATAAACTTTGAAATAATTCTGTCAGGAACATTGGATGAATGGGCCTTCCTATATCTCTTGTGAGATTTACAGTTTTGTTGCAATTTCTTTTGGCATATATGAGAAGGGGAGGTGGATATGCATTTTAGCGCCTGGGGTAAGCAATCATACTCGTACCCTCTAGAGGCAACATATGTGTGGGGGGGCCATGGTGTCATGTCCCCAGATTTCTACCTCCCATTTAGCACAGAAGTTTTTAAACTGTAGGGTGTGCCTCCCTAGGGGGATGCACCCCCCAAGTTAGAAAACCGTTGCTTCCTGCCAGGAGCCAGCAGATGAGTAGCTGGTGGGAGCCGCTTGGGCCCGTAGTTCTCTGTGCTCTTTCTGCATGGCTAGGCACACCCCAGGCAGGGTGGGCAGCACAGCTCCAAGCTGTGTCCCTGACATGCTCTTGCCTCTGCCATGAAGGAGCTTGGTGCGGACTTGTGACACCTCCTGGAGCCAGCCCCTGCCCATGGAGTGTGGATGCTATTAGATGCTCCCTGAGGTTTTTCCTGCAGTACTCATGCCCCTTGGGCACCTGCCTCTCAGCAGCCTGGTCACACCCTGGTTGCCATCCAGCAACCTGCCATTGCAGCCGGGTCACTCTCCCCTACTCCCTGTCCGTAGAGCGGAACCGCACCTTGCTCTCCTTTGCTGCCCGGCCCCTGCCCCAGCCTCAGGGCTGCTGGGCTCACAATGACACAGCCTGATCTCTGAACTCAGCCATCTGAGCCCAGTGCCCAGCCCAGGAACTGGGAACCGGCGGCTGCTGGAAGGGTGGACTCTTTCCTGCCAGCTCCAAAAAGCAAGGCTATGAGAATGTTGCAACCTCTAGGCTTAAACACTGCCCCCCTTCCCTGCCTCCTCCCACTATGGGCACGCATCGTTGTACAGAAAACAGGATGGTGGCCAAATAGAGGGCCCAGCACATGTAGAAGGCACTAGGATTCAGGAGATGGCATGCAGCTGCAGAGGTACTGTTTCCGGGAGAAGCAGCGTCATGCCATCCGCTCCCGGCCCGGGTCTCTATTTGGGGGGAGGTACAAAACCACACCTCACCCCAGACTATGCCCTTGGACTCCAACCAATGGTGTTGAGTCCAATCCTGTGGGGAATGAGGAGGGAGACCTGATGCTGTTGGGCCCAAGCCTGCACTGCCCCATTTTTGTGCCCCTGCCAGCTCTGTGTCCTAGGCAGCTGCCCATCTTGCCCCATCCTAGTTGTGGCTCTGGAAAATGGGGAAAGGAGGTCACTTCAGAGGATATATGCACTTTAGAATCCTCAAATTTATCATTTTTAAATGTGTGTTTAAGTGAAGTGTTTAAGTGTTTTGAGGTTGGTTTGCTCACGTAGGCCTTTGAACATGCATTTAAAAAGCTTTCCCTAATCATTACTTGACTACTACTGTGTAAAAGTGGGTAGGGCAGCAATAGTAGCAATAGCAACTGCTATTTCAGTTCTTAATCTAGTAGAGGTAAGGAAATTATTGCGCATGTCATTAATATGAAGGAGGGAAAACTTGCCAAGGATGGTTCTGATGACACTGCACAGCACTGTAAACGTGACTACAAAGAAATAAGGTTCTGCCATGTCATATCTTACCATCGTCCATGAAAATAACTTTGTGTAGACTTGTTAGATTCCAATATTAAATGAAGGTTTTGGGTGGATGGGAATGACATTTAAATAGACAATGTCATTTTAAAAAGATTACATTTAAAAAGCTATTCTAATTTAGGACTGATTTAGGCTGTCTAGAGGGAAAAACACTTATTTTTTTAACAGGTTGAAGGGCTAGCATATGCTATGGTGAAATACTAGTGGCCCCCATCTACACTAGGGCTTTGAAGCCTGTTAGTTTAGCGAACAGGTTTTTTTGTATAGAAAGCATTTATTTTTCTAGACTAGACAAGGCCTTAGAAAAAGAAAATTCCTAAGAATACTTAAATGGAAGTTCACCTTGCTCCTTGTGTCACAAGAGATCCAGTATTTACAAGGTACCCACTGATTCTAATAAAAATATCCCTGTAATGTAGATAGTGGTTTGCCACTTGCCCATGGCAAATTAAAAACTTGCTCTGGACCATTGTGGGGACCTACACCATCAATTTCTGCAACTTTTAAGTTTTCATTTAAAAAAAAAAATCTGGTTCTTGGGGTTTCAAAAACTACGTCTAAATCTATGTATTGTATTCCTGACTTACCCATAGCAAACAATTCTGCTGCTCACAGCTTTGGTAAGCAGAATGAAATTAGACTGGTCATTTTCACTGCTGTTACTGAAAACTCTGTGGGCAGCAATGAAAATGTCAATTTCATGCTTCTATAGCTTTAAAAAGAACCGAGGAACAGTAGAATCAAGCACTGGAAATAGTCAGGGAGAAAAATCCAGTAAATAGTATGTGCATGTGGAGAGGACATATACAGTCACAGAAATCCTCCCTCCTCACAAGAGTAAGAAGTATGTGCATGTGGAGAGGATAGAAAGCTCCTCCTTGCCAGCCTTTAGAGGTGAAGCATTTCAAAAGTATGATGCCTATTAACGCCAGGCTAATATCCAAAGGGAGCCCAAGAAGAGTCTAGGGCAGAAGCCTGGTAAAAAGCCTAGCCTCCTCTCCCTTCCTGGCATCTGGCGGTAATGGTGGGGTGGGGAAAAGGGAGAGCAAGAGTGGGGGACTGGGCTTCTCATAATAGAACTGCTCTTGGACATTGCTGATGGTGCCCAATACTCTTATAGCTGTACCTCTGTGGGGCCCGCATGCATGGGGTGTGCCCCCTGGGGATCACCGAGGAATATTCAGGGGGGGGGGCACAGCTGGGCCTGGGACAGCCGCCATGGGGGGCAGGGAGGGAGTCCCACCCTGTTCCACTCCTGGCCACAGCCCCAGTTGCCAGTCCCCCCACCAGGGGTCCCAGCTGCAGCCGGTGTTTGGCTGTTGGCCTGTGCCTGGCGTCCCGGCTGCAAACCCACGCCCAGGGCTCCGCTCCTGGCTCCGCACTCAGGGTCCTGGCTGCCCCCAACTGTAGCCCCAGCATTAGCCCCCTTACCCCGTCTGCATCCCCTGTACTGGGGAGCAGTGGAGGGGCGCGGACAGAGATAAGAGGGGCACAAGGTAAAAAGCTTGGGGACCACTGCTCTAGCTAGTATGTTTAGTGTTTGGGCTAGTAGGTATCTGGTTTATTATCTAAGCCTTGACACAATATAAGCTAGTGTTCTCTGTGGAATTGCTATGCCATGGAATAACAGTTCAGATGTTTGAGCTGAAAATAATCAATTTCATTTTGATGTAAAACCAGTAACTTTCTTATAGGATTGTTATTTCTGTCTTATCCTGTTAGGTGTAAGAATTTGTCTATATCTTACTGGAATTCCTATTGGATGCTGCCCTCTGATGTTTGTGGAATGAACTGCTTTTGGGAAGCTGCTTTTAGGTAGGCTCTAATATTAAATAGAAACTTATTACTGGCAGCTAGTATCGTTGGTTATATAACAAACTGGCAAATTAAGCACACTTTAAAAATTACTTCAGATGTATTTTCTTGTGCTCATAGTGCAACTGTCTTCATAAACTGGACTTGTATGCCCCTTAATGACACTTTGTGCGTTATCAGTTATCCTGAGAAATTAAATATCAAGAAGAAATCCAAAGAATATTTAACTAATTTTCTTTATTGTATTTGTTTTCTTTTTATTACTACTTATTTAGGAATTATTAACAGGCTTACAAATCCTTGCCATGTAAATATCAAAAACAAAAGAATAATTGTTAAAACAGTGAGCTTTTGTTTCAAAAGACATGTAGGAATATAGTCTTTAGCTCTCTATTTAACAGGGTGTTATGATATTACAAAATGAGCATCATTACAACACTGACATCATTTCTAGTGATTTTATTAAATTGAGTAAAATCTCTATTTACTCATATTTAACAGACCAGGCATGTCTATCAAATGCTGATATTCAACATTATCTTTTTCTTCTAGCCATTCTTCTAGCCTAACATAATGAAAAACTATTTGTGGGTCACCATTTTTAACAAACTGATAAGATTTGTTGCAGTGAGCTGTAAACCTGCAGATTAATTCAGTAGAGATAGAACAAGTACACATTTTTTCAATTACTCATTTCCAGTGATCAGATTTATTATTTGAAACCAGGAGTTCTAATTAACTTTTTTCCCTAGGATCTCATGACTAGCTGAGAGCACTAGCCAAACAATTCTGAGCTTACTACTTTACAGCATGCCATAAGTAACCTGAAACAATAGTTGTACAGTACGTTGAAGTGTTGGCATGACCTCAAAGTTTCATCTTTAATGAGTAGTTTACACACATTACAGCTGTAATGTAAATTTGTTTTCAAATGATGCAAATAGTTCATTCTGAGAAGTAACATTGCACGTCTGGCATGCTTCAGAACTACTTGACAAAGACGCGGTCCCCAAGCAACACAGTGCTTTTCAGTGTACATCTAATACGGCAAGTTACTTGTCTTCTGTTAAAATCTGATCAGGTCCTCTTTAAAGATATCTTTGTGCAGTATATCTGACTATCTCTGAGGACCCCTTTCTAACCAGCATGGCAATCCATCACCACAGACAACTGGGTACTGGAAATAATGCATTCAGGCTATATGATACCATTCATTTATCCATCCCTCTTCAGGGACCCCTCTCACAAACACCTTCTATGGAAAGAAGTAAACCACCTCCTACATCTGGGCACTGTGGAACAGGTACTATCACAGCACAAAGGGAAGGGTTTTTACTCCCACTCCTTCTTAACTCAGAAGAAGAAGAACAGAGGATGAAGTCCTATTTTATACCTCAGAAAACTCAACAACTTCACAAGGGTCCAACAGTTCAGGATGGTCACATTAGCAACAATAATACCAGTGCTGGAGCAGTGGGACTGGTTTTCGGCCCTTGACCTCCAAGATGCCTTTTTTCATGGAACCATACGTTCTGTTCACAAGAGGTTCCTCATGTTTATTCTGGGGACAGAACATTATTAATACATGGTTCTGCTCTTTGGCCTTTCGACAGCCCCTCAGGTGTTTTCCAAAGTGTTCGTGCAGTGGTGGCACACCTCCGCAAATAGGGAGTGACAATTTTTCCCTATGTAGACAATTGCCTGTTAGAAGCACCCACCCGGGTAGATGCCATAGACACTATCAACATGACAATCATCCTCTTTTTGCAGCTGGGACTACAACTCAGCGTACAAAAATCAACATTGATACCCATGCGGAAACTGGACTTCATTGGGGTGGATATCAATGCTCTAGAGGCCGAAGCATCATTACCACTGACAGGATTCCTCACTATAGTCAATTGGATTTCCACCATACTGAACAGCCCACAGGTATCTGCATGGATCTGTGTCCAACTATTAGGCCAGATGACAGCAACCACATTCATGGTACGACCAGTGTTCCCTCCTAATTTTTCCCACCCGTGTGTGGAATGAACTTTTTTTATGTGCACCAATATGGAGGTGATGTGTGACACATCACCTTCATATCGGTGCACATAACAAAATTAATGTGGTGGGGGTGGGGCCGAGGGGTTTGGAGTGTGGGAGGGGGCTCAGAGCTGGGGCAGAGGGTTGGGCTGCAGGGGTGTGAGAGTTCTGGCTGGGGGTGGGGGGCTCAGGGCTGGAGCAGAGGGTTGGAGTTGGGGATGGCGCCAGCTGGGGGTGTGGGCTCAGGTGGAGCTGCCGATGACGGGTTTGGGGTGGAGATGGGGGCTACGGTGGGCGTGAGGACTCCCCCCAGCAGCACCTGGGCTTGGGGGGAGAGGCACCTCTCCCCGCCGTGGCAGCTCCGGGGCTGGAGCCATGGGATAGGCGCCCCTACCCTGGCCCCCGCAGGTCCAGACAGGGTTGGGTTCAGGGAGGGCCGCCCTGCAAAGGGGCCGGGCCACCCCGGCCGGGGCCAGGCTGCCCTGGCTGTGGCAGGTTGGGGCTGGGGCGTCCCCCGGCGGGTTCCCTGAGCACCTGCGCAACACTAAATAGGCTGCTGCGTGGCCGCGCACCTTACAGGGAACTCTAGGGTATGACACGAGCATCTTCACGTATGCTTCCTTCAGGCCTGGCTAAGAACAGTCTACATACCACACAAACACAGCCTAAACAAGTGCCTCTTAATGCTGCACAAAGACAAAGACTCGCCATACTGGTGAATGCAGCCCAACAATGTGTGCGTGGGAGTCCCTTTCACACAGACTCCACCTTCAGTGATTCTCACAACCAATGCCCCTTGATAGGCTGGGGAGCCCATATACAACACTAAACAATTCAGAGCTGGTGGTCTCCTACCAAGACGCTGTTACACATAAATCTCCTGGAACTGTGTGCATTTTGCAGTGCGTGTTTGCACTTCCTGCCATTGATCAGGAACAAGACTATATGGGTAATGACGGACAACATTGCCTGCATGATTTATATAAACTGAAAGCGAGGGGAAAGGTCACACACCCTATGCACCGAAGTCATGAAACTATGGAACTGGTGTATCTGACACAGTGTCAAAATGTCAGCTTCATATCTCCCAGTACGTCAAAACACCACAGCGGATACATTGAGCAGGAAATTCTGGCAGGACCAGAAGAGAGAGCTAAACAACACAGTTGTGCAGAGCATATTCAAACATTGATGTCACCCATCCATAGACTTCTTCGCAGGCTCCCAGAACTGCAAATGCCTGCAATTCTGCTCAAGAGCAGAGTTGGGTTCCCATTCCTTGGGTGATGCCTTTCTTTTCAAATGGGATACGCTTCTGCTGTATGTGTTTCCACCAATCCCCTTGCCATTGAGGGTAGTATACAAAATAAGAGACAAGATCAGAGTCATCCTTATAGCGCTCACGTCGCCCAGACAAACTTGGAAATCGTACCTATTGAGGATGGTGGTATGTGCACTGCACACTCTTGCTGAATCTTCTCTTGCAAAATGCTGGACAGGTTTACCATCCAAACCTGGAGAGAATTCACCTGAGAACGTGGCTTCTACATGGTTCCAGCCTGACAAACTGACCTGCACTGCATAGGTAAAAGACATATTAGTAAACAATAGGAGGACAACCACATGGAATACTTACCTGCATAAATGGAAGAGATTTGCCATCTAATGCCAAAACAAATGAGCCCGACCTGTTACCTCCCCTTTACCAATGATTTGAGAATACGTTCTAGAATTAAAGAACTCCAGCCTATTCCTTAGCTTGCTTAGAGAACACCTTACCACTATTACTGCTTTTCACCACAAGGTGGACAGGATATCGATATTTGTCAATCCTACCACCAAACACTTTCTTGGGGGTATCAGAAACCTTTACCCTGAAATACAAGTACCTACCCCACCTTGGGACTTGAACTTGGTACTACGACTGCCTTACCTGGGCCCCACTCAAACATTAGCAACATGCTGTCTAACACATTTGTCAGTCGCATTCTTAGTGGCTATCACGTCCGCCTGATGAGTGGGAGAGTTAGGAGCCCTCATGGCGCACCCACCACATACCATCTTTTTCAAAGATAAGGTCACCTTAACCTTAAGATTTCACCCTGAATTTTTACCTAAAGTACCCTCCTCTTTTCACTTGAACCAACCAATCCATCTTCTCTAAACCTCATGGGAGCAAACAGGACTCAATATTACACACCCTGGACATCAGACACACACTAGCGTTCTACCTTGAGATAACCAAGACCTTCGGAAAGTCAGAGACTTTTTATTTCAACTTCAGAATGATCTAAAGGTTCCACCATTTCTAAGCAGAGACTGTCCAAATGGATTTCTGGATGCATCAGAACCCACTCTACCAGGTCATTATCAACCTCAGTAGTTTTTCTCAACAATATCCTATCATGAACCTATGTGAAGTGGCCACCTGGGCATCCACATACATGTTTACAAAACACTGTACGATAGATCAGAGCTCAAGATCGGATGCACTGGTAGAACTTACTATACTATCATCAAGTATCAGGGTTCATCTGAAGAAGTGGAGTTTTACCCACGAAAGCTTATGCCCAAATAAATCTGTTAGTTTTTAAGGTGCCACCAGACTCCTTGTTGTGTTTATACTATCAGTTACCAATGCAACTCTGAAGCCCCTTCCATCCACCGAGGGGCACTGCTCGACAGTCACCTGAAATGGAGCACCCACAGAGACACTCCTTGAAGAAGAGACGGTTACTCACCCTGTGCAGTAACTGAAGGTCTTCAAGATGGTGTCCTGTGGGTGCTCTATTACCCACCCTTTCCCCCCCTCTATTTCGGAGTTTAATCTATGGACTTGGTGGTGGTGAAGGAACTGAAGGGGGGGAGACCGGGAGAGTGCATGCAGTGACCCGGACAAGCACTGCTGCTGAAATTCTCTGATCAAAGGCACAGTGAAGCACCCTCAGGGACACCATCTCGAAGAATCT